GCGCCCACACCCCCCTCCTGACCCCCCCCGTCCCCGTCAGCGGCGAAGATGCCGCCTGCATCGCCTACATCCGCCTGACGCAGTACATCGACGGCCAGGGCCGGCCCCGCACCACGCAGTCTGAGGAGACCCGCATCTGGCACCGCCGGGATGGCAAATGGCAAACCCCGGCTGCGCCGCTCCAGTGAGGCTCCAACACAGGTGTGTCCATGGCAGAAGCCCTGAGCGCTGTGTGACCGGGGCGCTGAGGGGTGGCTGTTTGCTAGCGGGCTGCAGGCGCAGCGGAGCTAAGACAGTCAAACGTTTCCCGCAGCCTGGCCAGAGCACCTACAACCCTCTCTCCACCCCACTTCCCCTTTCCCCGGCCGTGTGCCGTAGGGAGGGGATGGGCTGGCTCTTGGGGAAGATAGCCGAGGGATGTGCGGGGCCGCTGGGCACGGACCGGGGGACTCAGGTTAGACGATAGGCCCCGGCATTGGACTACAGAGCATTGAGGGGAGGGACATTCCCTGGCTGCAGCGTGCTGAGATCCACCTCTCGGGTCCTGGGGGGAGGGACATCCCCTGGCTGCAGTGTGCTGAGAGCCACCTCTCTGGTCCTGGGGGGAGGCACATTCCCTGGCTGCAGTGGGCTGAGATCCACCTCTCTGATCCTGGGGGGAGGGACATTCCTTGGCTGCAGTGTGCTGAGAGCCACCTCTCTGGTCCTGGGGGGAGGCACATTCCCTGGCTGCAGTGGGCTGAGATCCACCTCTCTGATCCTGGGGGGAGGGACATTCCTTGGCTGCAGTGTGCTGAGAGCCACCTCTCTGGTCCTGGGGGGAGGCACATTCCCTGGCTGCAGTGGGCTGAGATCCACCTCTCTGATCCTGGGGGGAGGGACATTCCTTGGCTGCAGTGTGCTGAGAGCCACCTCTCTGGTCCTGGGGGGAGGCACATTCCCTGGCTGCAGTGGGCTGAGATCCACCTCTCTGATCCTGGGGGGAGGGACATTCCTTGGCTGCAGTGTGCTGAGAGCCACCTCTCTGGTCCTGGGGGGAGGCACATTCCCTGGCTGCAGTGGGCTGAGATCCACCTCTCTGATCCTGGGGGGAGGGACATTCCTTGGCTGCAGTGTGCTGAGAGCCACCTCTCTGGTCCTGGGGGGAGGCACATTCCCTGGCTGCAGTGGGCTGAGATCCACCTCTCTGATCCTGGGGGGAGGGACATTCCTTGGCTGCAGTGTGCTGAGAGCCACCTCTCTGGTCCTGGGGGGAGGCACATTCCCTGGCTGCAGTGGGCTGAGATCCACCTCTCTGATCCTGGGGGGAGGGACATTCCTTGGCTGCAGTGTGCTGAGAGCCACCTCTCTGGTCCTGGGGGGAGGCACATTCCCTGGCTGCAGTGGGCTGAGATCCACCTCTCTGATCCTGGGGGGAGGGACATTCCTTGGCTGCAGTGTGCTGAGAGCCACCTCTCTGGTCCTGGGGGGAGGCACATTCCCTGGCTGCAGTGGGCTGAGATCCACCTCTCTGATCCTGGGGGGAGGGACATTCCTTGGCTGCAGTGTGCTGAGAGCCACCTCTCTGGTCCTGGGGGGAGGCACATTCCCTGGCTGCAGTGGGCTGAGATCCACCTCTCTGATCCTGGGGGGAGGGACATTCCTTGGCTGCAGTGTGCTGAGAGCCACCTCTCTGGTCCTGGGGGGAGGCACATTCCCTGGCTGCAGTGGGCTGAGATCCACCTCTCTGATCCTGGGGGGAGGGACATTCCTTGGCTGCAGTGTGCTGAGAGCCACCTCTCTGGTCCTGGGGGGAGGCACATTCCCTGGCTGCAGTGGGCTGAGATCCACCTCTCTGATCCTGGGGGGAGGGACATTCCTTGGCTGCAGTGTGCTGAGAGCCACCTCTCTGGTCCTGGGGGGAGGCACATTCCCTGGCTGCAGTGGGCTGAGATCCACCTCTCTGATCCTGGGGGGAGGGACATTCCTTGGCTGCAGTGTGCTGAGAGCCACCTCTCTGGTCCTGGGGGGAGGCACATTCCCTGGCTGCAGTGGGCTGAGATCCACCTCTCTGATCCTGGGGGGAGGGACATTCCTTGGCTGCAGTGTGCTGAGAGCCACCTCTCTGGTCCTGGGGGGAGGCACATTCCCTGGCTGCAGTGGGCTGAGATCCACCTCTCTGATCCTGGGGGGAGGGACATTCCTTGGCTGCAGTGTGCTGAGAGCCACCTCTCTGGTCCTGGGGGGAGGCACATTCCCTGGCTGCAGTGGGCTGAGATCCACCTCTCTGATCCTGGGGGGAGGGACATTCCTTGGCTGCAGTGTGCTGAGAGCCACCTCTCTGGTCCTGGGGGGAGGCACATTCCCTGGCTGCAGTGGGCTGAGATCCACCTCTCTGATCCTGGGGGGAGGGACATTCCTTGGCTGCAGTGTGCTGAGAGCCACCTCTCTGGTCCTGGGGGGAGGCACATTCCCTGGCTGCAGTGGGCTGAGATCCACCTCTCTGATCCTGGGGGGAGGGACATTCCTTGGCTGCAGTGTGCTGAGAGCCACCTCTCTGGTCCTGGGGGGAGGCACATTCCCTGGCTGCAGTGGGCTGAGATCCACCTCTCTGATCCTGGGGGGAGGGACATTCCTTGGCTGCAGTGTGCTGAGAGCCACCTCTCTGGTCCTGGGGGGAGGCACATTCCCTGGCTGCAGTGGGCTGAGATCCACCTCTCTGATCCTGGGGGGAGGGACATTCCTTGGCTGCAGTGTGCTGAGAGCCACCTCTCTGGTCCTGGGGGGAGGCACATTCCCTGGCTGCAGTGGGCTGAGATCCACCTCTCTGATCCTGGGGGGAGGGACATTCCTTGGCTGCAGTGTGCTGAGAGCCACCTCTCTGGTCCTGGGGGGAGGCACATTCCCTGGCTGCAGTGGGCTGAGATCCACCTCTCTGATCCTGGGGGGAGGGACATTCCTTGGCTGCAGTGTGCTGAGAGCCACCTCTCTGGTCCTGGGGGGAGGCACATTCCCTGGCTGCAGTGGGCTGAGATCCACCTCTCTGATCCTGGGGGGAGGGACATTCCTTGGCTGCAGTGTGCTGAGAGCCACCTCTCTGGTCCTGGGGGGAGGCACATTCCCTGGCTGCAGTGGGCTGAGATCCACCTCTCTGATCCTGGGGGGAGGGACATTCCTTGGCTGCAGTGTGCTGAGAGCCACCTCTCTGGTCCTGGGGGGAGGCACATTCCCTGGCTGCAGTGGGCTGAGATCCACCTCTCTGATCCTGGGGGGAGGGACATTCCTTGGCTGCAGTGTGCTGAGAGCCACCTCTCTGGTCCTGGGGGGAGGCACATTCCCTGGCTGCAGTGGGCTGAGATCCACCTCTCTGATCCTGGGGGGAGGGACATTCCTTGGCTGCAGTGTGCTGAGAGCCACCTCTCTGGTCCTGGGGGGAGGGACATACCATGGCTGCAGTGTGCTGAGATCCACCTCTCTGATCCTGGGGGGAGGGACATTCCTTGGCTGCAGAGTGCTGAGATCCACCTCTCTGGTCTGGGGGGAGGGACATTCCCTGGCTGCAGAGTGCTGAGATCCACCTCTCTGGTCTGGGGGGAGGGACATTCCCTGGCTGCAGAGTGCTGAGATCCACCTCTCTGGTCTGGGGGGAGGGACATTCCCTGGCTGCAGAGTGCTGAGATCCACCTCTCTGGTCTGGGGGGAGGGACATTCCCTGGCTGCAGAGTGCTGAGATCCACCTCTCTGGTCTGGGGGGAGGGACATTCCCTGGCTGCAGAGTGCTGAGATCCACCTCTCTGGTCTGGGGGGAGGGACATTCCCTGGCTGCAGAGTGCTGAGATCCACCTCTCTGGTCTGGGGGGAGGGACATTCCCTGGCTGCAGAGTGCTGAGATCCACCTCTCTGGTCTGGGGGGAGGGACATTCCCTGGCTGCAGAGTGCTGAGATCCACCTCTCTGGTCTGGGGGGAGGGACATTCCCTGGCTGCAGAGTGCTGAGATCCACCTCTCTGGTCTGGGGGGAGGGACATTCCCTGGCTGCAGAGTGCTGAGATCCACCTCTCTGGTCTGGGGGGAGGGACATTCCCTGGCTGCAGAGTGCTGAGATCCACCTCTCTGGTCTGGGGGGAGGGACATTCCCTGGCTGCAGAGTGCTGAGATCCACCTCTCTGGTCTGGGGGGAGGGACATTCCCTGGCTGCAGAGTGCTGAGATCCACCTCTCTGGTCTGGGGGGAGGGACATTCCCTGGCTGCAGAGTGCTGAGATCCACCTCTCTGGTCTGGGGGGAGGGACATTCCCTGGCTGCAGAGTGCTGAGATCCACCTCTCTGGTCTGGGGGGAGGGACATTCCCTGGCTGCAGAGTGCTGAGATCCACCTCTCTGGTCTGGGGGGAGGGACATTCCCTGGCTGCAGAGTGCTGAGATCCACCTCTCTGGTCTGGGGGGAGGGACATTCCCTGGCTGCAGAGTGCTGAGATCCACCTCTCTGGTCTGGGGGGAGGGACATTCCCTGGCTGCAGAGTGCTGAGATCCACCTCTCTGGTCTGGGGGGAGGGACATTCCCTGGCTGCAGAGTGCTGAGATCCACCTCTCTGGTCTGGGGGGAGGGACATTCCCTGGCTGCAGAGTGCTGAGATCCACCTCTCTGGTCCTGGGGGAGGGACATTCCTTGGCTGCAGAGTGCTGAGATCCACCTCTCTGGTCCTGAGGGAGGGACATTCCCTGGCTGCAGAGTGCTGAGATCCACCTCTCTGGTCCTGAGGGAGGGACATTCCCTGGCTGCAGAGTGCTGAGATCCACCTCTCTGGTCCTGAGGGAGGGACATTCCCTGGCTGCAGAGTGCTGAGATCCACCTCTCTGGTCCTGAGGGAGGGACATTCCCTGGCTGCAGAGTGCTGAGATCCACCTCTCTGGTCCTGAGGGAGGGACATTCCCTGGCTGCAGAGTGCTGAGATCCACCTCTCTGGTCCTGAGGGAGGGACATTCCCTGGCTGCAGAGTGCTGAGATCCACCTCTCTGGTCCTGAGGGAGGGACATTCCCTGGCTGCAGAGTGCTGAGATCCACCTCTCTGGTCCTGAGGGAGGGACATTCCCTGGCTGCAGAGTGCTGAGATCCACCTCTCTGGTCCTGAGGGAGGGACATTCCCTGGCTGCAGAGTGCTGAGATCCACCTCTCTGGTCCTGAGGGAGGGACATTCCCTGGCTGCAGAGTGCTGAGATCCACCTCTCTGGTCCTGAGGGAGGGACATTCCCTGGCTGCAGAGTGCTGAGATCCACCTCTCTGGTCCTGGGGGGAGGGACATTCCCTGGGCGCAGGCAAGTCCCATTTTCAGGCAGAAGGTGTGAAGAGCTCTTGGGAAGTGATTTCGAGTTGGGGGAGGGCTGCCTGAAGAGAAAGTAGATCAGAGATGGATCTTTTCTACCGGTGTCCATCCCGCACAGGCACAGAACCGGGCAAAAAGCAGACAGACATTACGGGGCGGACAGCCTGAGATCCCAGAGGTAAAACTGCGGGAAAGCGACAGGGTGTTAGACCGAGGTGCTGAATACAATTAGGTAGGACCCCCCCCAAATTCATGGCCCATTCGGTCATAGGATTTTAAAAATCGTAAATTTCATGCTGTATTTCAGTCTGAAATGTCCGGGTGGTATTGGGGTCCTGCCCACAAGGCTATTACATGGGCATCGCGGTGCCGCTCCCTGTACTTCTGCGGTGCTGCTGATAGCAGCCTGGCCTGCAGAGCGGGGCTGGGGAGCACCAGCTGCTGGCCAGGAGCCCTGGTCCGGAGGCAGTCAGCGCCAGCTGCAGTGCCAAGGTAAGGGTGGCCTGGCGTGGTATTGCCACCCTAACGTCTGCACTGTCTGCACAGCTGGGCTCTCAGCACTTGCCACTGTCAGGCCACCCAGCTCTGTTGGCAGCAGCGCAGAAGGAAGGTGGGGCAGTCCCTTGCTGCTGGCAGGGCGCTGCCTTCAGAGCTGGGCGTTTGACCAAGAGCCGCTGCTGTCTGGCTCGCAAAGCAGTGCAGAGTAAGGGTGGCCATACCACAGCCCTGCTGCAGCTCCCTTTTGGGTCAGGACCCCAGTTGAGAGAGGCTTATCTCCCCTGGGAGATGCACAGGACAGAGTCAAAGCCTATTAAACCGATTTCCCGGGGAAGCCCACGTTTCATGGTCCGTTTTTCATGGCTGTGAGAGCCCTGTCTGCATAGCAGTGAGGCACACACAGCAAGCGTGGGCGAGCCGGCCTGGCAGCTCCGGGAGCATGATGCAGTGCTAAGTCACTGGGAGTCTCGGACCTGCCTTATAAACAATCCAGGGAAGGACAGATGAGGTTGGAGAGGTAGGTGGGGACGTTGCTTCGGAGCTTACCAATTCCCTAGTTGTAAGCAGGCAGTGTAGCGAGGACCACAGACTACAGTCTAGAGGGACACACATCCCAAGCCACAAGAACACAAGTAGACCAGTAGAGTATTAACACCAGCCTTCTAATCAGCAAAACGATTTGGAATGTACTGAGAGAAATGAAACACAATATTGGGCAACTTACACTGGCCACATGAAAAAAGCCAGCCATCACAATGGAGCAACGTTTGACTGTCAGTTGCTTGATGCCATCCAATAATTGCTGCTTGGAGCAGCTGATTTTGCTGGATACGCATTTGGCTCAGATAACGTCTTGATGTTTATTTGTAGCCAGGCTGGTTTACCTACGTTTCTTGCTTTCTCTTGTGCTGAGGTGTCTCATGCCTTATGCCTCCTCTGGCGTGTGCCTCTGTAGCTGCTGTGCTGAGTCCAAGGATGGAAGTTTCCTAATGTTAGAATCTTTAGGCCTGGATTCCTCCTGTTTTCTAATGGGAGTGTCACTGGGTGAGGGGTGATGCGATTTCTTCTGCAAGGGCGTTGGACTTGGTAATACTGTGCTCACTGTTACTAAGTGGATCCTCTTCAGTCTAGTCCTGCGTACTGGGTAGGACAAAGGGCTTGCCTACTCTTAAAATGCCACCGTGGCCCAGCTGTACTGTTCCAGCTCCCTACACCAACGGGCGACCTTCTCCTCTCGATGTAGGTGCTCAGTCTCAGTTGATGGGAGAATTTTCCTGC